ATTATTATTATTATTATTATACAATGTTTCCATTATCTCATTCCCAGCATTTCCCGCTTTGCAATCGTATCCTTACCTCTGAGAACTGGTCCTGGTCGGATATCTCGCTGTACGGCGTTGGTGATCGATACGCTCTCGGCTTAGCTTCTCTCTTCTCGGAGCTGTCCGCCGCCTCCCTCCTCCTCCGCCGCGGCACAGCAGCAGCCAATCGCTCGGCGATCGGAGATATGCCGACGGAGTACGGGTTCCCGGGAACACCGCCGCCGACCTTCTTCGTTGGCGTGCGCCACGCCTCCAGCGCCATCTGCTGTTGAATCTTCTGCCCGATCTCGTCGGTCGGCGACTTCGGTGGCGCCCCCTGCAGACCCTTCTCGATCTCTCGCTCCACCATCGCGTCCGTGTCCTCGCCACTACCCGTCGTCGCGCGCCGCTCCGCATCGCTGGCCGACACGAGCCGCGCCGGCGCCCCCTGGTCGTCCTCCGCATCACTCGCCGACCGGCGGCCATCTTTGCTGGCGACGGCGGACGCGTGGGGGTTGGGATTGTGCGACGAGCTCGCATCGGGCGAGCCGTCGCGGCCTGAGCCGGGGTCAAAGGTCGTCGTCTCGTAACCTACGACCTCCTCGCCGGCCTCACATTGAAGGTCGTCCGCGCTGACCTCGTACTGAAGCCCCGCAGCTTCCTGGTCGACTGTCTGCGGCTGACCTGGAGGAAGGATGCGAGAGCATCAATAATCTAATCTAATCGTACTATTATTATTATTATGCATTCCATTAATGATAACTAGCATTTTAGCAACTGTCATTTAGGACTTAGCAAATGGCATTTTAACCATTTGTATTTTTTTGTATTTCTTTCTGTTTGATATTTCTATTTTAACGTATAAGCAAGTAGAAACCAACTTCTATTATACACGTCTTGCTGTACAAATTGAATGAAAAAGTTAACATCTAGTCGTTTTATATATTTTGATTGCTGGCAAGATATGAATTGAAAAACTACACAATGTGAGTGTGAATGTGATATACCTAGCGACATTACTCTTCGAATAATATTCTACTGAATAAATCATAAATTCGTTATTTATTATTTATTATTAATTACTTTTACAAAAAATAATTTATTCAATTAACAGTCTATTTTCGTTCTATTTTATTATATACCATTGCTAAATTATCCCTAATAACACTTTTATAACTATTGTCTACAAATTTGAATTGCTGATCCATATTTTTAGTTTTGTTCTGGATTTTAGATTTAAATATGATTAGTTTGCATACATTTGCAGTCAAAATTATGCAAACTAGCACAACTTCATAGCTAACATTTTCATAATACGTGAACGCTGTACAAATTATTTACATCGATGTACGTGTGCGTACACGGCTCTGATGTACAAAAATCTCGCTATAAACCGGGACATCTGATCACTATCATGCGAAATCCTCCCACTAAAACGTTTGAGAACACGAGTCTCGCTACATAGCCTTAGGAGACACTGTACCTATCACGTCAAGGTCAACGTCTGGTGAAGATGAATCGCGTCACTGTCTGGGTTTCTTCGTGAGCGAACCAACGTAGTGTTCCTGGAGATATGCCGGCATGCTGACGCGTCGGCGAGCTCTACGCTCCGGCACTGCCGAGTCCTCCACACTGCAAACATGAACAATGACAATGTTTACCCGGCACCACCGTTTACAATACGGATTACTACTAGAATACTAAGCACTACGGTATCTTCTCCACTGTAAAACTTAGAACTTCTAAAACTTATCACTTGAACTTGAACTTTACTTTCACTTGAACTTGTACTTGAACTTTACCTTAACTTTAAACTAGAAACTTAGAACTTATAAAACATCTAAGACTTAGAATGCACAGATCTTACAGCTCCCGACACAAACTAGTCCTACCTTTCCTGACCCTTGCGGCCACCCACCTCTGTGCGTCTTCTGCATAGAGGCTGCTCACGAACCCGTGGGACCTTTTTGAACTGTTGAATCAACTTCCTCAATTACTAAAGGGGGAAAAAGTAAATCAATGCTGTAATTACACATATGACGAAAAACATTAATTACATCGTAATACAATCTTGTATAAATACCTTAATTCGCTAGGGAATGTAAATTGTAGATCATTCAGTGGAGAATACCTTGATTCTGCATTGGGTGACTGTGCAGATATTTGATGCGCGTCCGGCTTGCATGTAGAGCCTGTTTGCTGCGTAGATAGATCATCGTGGCTTCCCACATCTGAAGGACTCCACTTTCGAGGCCGTCTCCTCTCTCGTCTCTGCCTAGACGCAGGAGGGGAGTCTTGGATTTCCCCTTCATCTGGTGAGCTGTGCAAAGTAGAAGCAATAGACGTACATATTTAGCTTCATTTAGTCTGCTGCTTGCATATTACTTGCTGTAGTAGTGTCAGTGTTACATAATTCACAAGACTAACCGATATTGAAACTTACGATACAATCTAACATCGTACATATCCCAAGTTGTGTATAGATGAAGTAAGTCTGTATGATAGATAAAAAAGAACACACACACACACACAACACACACATATTATACTATAGTAATATAATATATATACAGGTTGTTCTGAATTAAAACGTCGAGTTCGGCAGTCAAATCTCCCTGATACCTTGACAATATGGCAGGTACAAGTACGTGCCTGGACTGTGAAATTCTCCGGCTTATATACTCAACTAGTTTCGTCTTCAAGAGCACCACGGCACGCCGCATTCTCCGCCGCGACTATTACCATGTTTTTTTAGCAAATATGACCCAAGCAAAATTTGCAGACGTCACGCCGCAAATGTCCTTTTTGTTAATATCGTTGCGTAGCTACTTGTTATACTGCAGACTGCCTTCAATTCTGCTACGGACTCCCTCTTTTGATGCGGTAGGGAGATCCTGTTGGATCGCTTGCTCCAAAAGTTAATTTCTACCGCCCGCTATATGGTGCTGTGTGTGTGCTGTGTGTGTGCGACGGATACCTTCTCCCTGGGGTGCCATCTTGACACGTGTGCCCCCTCTTGTGTGTGCGGTGTGTGTGTGTGTTGTGTGGTGTGGTCTGTGTTGTGTGGCTTGAGATTGTGCTGCTGTGTGTGTCGTGTGTGTGTTCGCGTTGGTTTAGTGTGGTCCTGTGTCTGTGTGTGTGTGCGTGCGTGCATGTAGAAGGGCTGCATGCAGGCAACAGGTTACGCCTCGTATCTTAGTATATAGAGATTTAGTAAGGCTGTACATGGGTAACGAGGAACAGGTGGAATCATGCAATGTGGATATGCACTGGATCACACCATCACCGCACCTGATCACGTCGTCTGCCCCATCCCGCGACTCCACGGATGAGATAACGGAGGCAGTCTCCATCGTCACCTCGCCCTCATTGCATGCTTTCCCTTCCTTCTCCTCACTCGCCTCGGCTACCTCCATGGAGTCACTGTCGGATGAGATAGCCTCAAGGTCACTCGCTGAAACGTTGCGAAGATAATGATTAGCTGTATTGTCGTGATCGTATTGATTTACATTGGGTGACCTGTGTTGTAGCTGACAGGAATGAATCAAAACAACAAATCAATCTGCTAAAAATTGCGTAATGCAATAAAACTTACTCTCCATTGCTTTCTGCTGGGTTCTCGCATCAGGTTTGTGTACTTCCACATCCACATGCCCACTGATACTTGTCAAAACCTTCTGCCCCGACGCTGGGCTGGACCCACCTCTCTGCTCCAACTGCTGACTGGTTGCCACACTTCTCAACCCCATTTCTAGAGTCGTCCCAACTGGCTGCTTCTCTCTATGACTAGTGTCATACTCAATCGTCGCACTCTCTGCTTCTTTTTCGTCTTCCAACTCCTCCATGCTGACGGACGACACTGGTGAAGCATCGTCCGCAATCGACGCTCCCACGTACGCATCCGCAGCTTCTCTCGGCACGGTCCTCGTGTCACCCGGAGGACCAGCTTCATCTCCTACTGTCTCAAATCCATCAAGCGAGCTGTCCGAAGATATAGGCGACGCAGCGTCGTCCGCCGTGCCGGTCACACCAGGGGGCGCTGTGTCGGCGACGGATGCAGTCATTAAACTTTTACTCTGATCGGCAACTGCATGAATCTCCTCCGTTACCGCGTCCTGGTCATCCAGACCACCGGAGGAGATGGGAGATGCCTCGGCACTGATGTCTTCGTCGGATATCTCTCCCTCTTCGCTCGGGGTCCTAGACTGTTTGACCCTAGCATGGTACGCTTCTTTCTCGTCCGGGGATTCTCTCGCAGGTTCCACTGTCGAGTCGGGTAACTTGACTTCTTCATACGAAGTCAATATCGGTTGCCGTGGATTCAAACCTCCGTGTTCCAGTAATGGCGGACGTCTCGTCTCTCGTACGTGCGTCTGTTTCTCTGTCATCGTTGGTCTACTTGTGTCTTCTACTGGATACTGCTGCTTAACGTACGATAACGTCTCTGATATCTGCCTCTCTATCTGCGCTTGTCTGGTTAGACTTGCTGGCAAAGGAACAGGTAGATCTGCAGGTGTGCTTTGCTCATCAGCAAACTCGTCCATGCCTTCCGAAGATATCGGCGAGGCTTGGTCAGCAAGATCTTCGCTGTCGTCGTCGTCTTCGTCCACAATCTCACCCTCGTCGGACGGGGTGCGCTGACGCCTCACGACACTCATCGCATTCGTTGCTTGTGTAGTCTGCAGGGTGTGACTGGACGTGATGGTCGTCACTCCCTCATCTCTGTGCTCACCCAATGCGTCATCGGACGAGACCGGCGAGGCCATATCTTCTATGCGATCGGGAGCGGGTAACTTTGCTCGCGATTCCTGATCACTACTAGCCGAAGATATAGGCGATGCTTTGTCTTCGACGTTCTTCTTGGAGGCCGTGTGCCTGTCTCCTCGCGCGCTAGTTGTGTCGTGCTCGACCGCAGACAGCTTCGACCTATTCTTACGGGATTTCCCGCGTTGCTGTGCCTCGCGGCTGCTCTCTGAAGAGGCGGACGAAGCGCTAATCTCACCTTCGGAGATCTCCTCTGCACCCAGCTTCTCCCACACCTTCGCTGTCTGGTGATGGGAGTCCTCGTGAGGTGCCGGCTGCGGTCTCTGACGCGAAACGCGACCCGGGGGGAACCTATCGGGACGGGATCGACCGACGCTGATGGAGGAGGCGGAGGAGATGCTCTCTTCTCCCTTCGCGCGCGAGCGACCTCGCTCCGACCCAGCAGAGGAATCCGCCGTCTCCGACGAGACCACCTCCCCGTCGGACGGCGCCTCGCTCCTGCGCCGCTTCCTTCCCGGCTTCTCCCCGGAGGAGGAGGCGATGGCTGCGCGGCGGCGGGGCCTCCCCCTCTTCCCCTTCGACGACGAGGACCGACTCTGCAGTCGGCGCCCCGCAGAGGAGGAGGAGGAGGAGCTTGTCTCGCTGCCTGCCTCAGCCTCCTCCGCCTCGGATCCCGACGTCAGCATCTCGCCCGAGTCGCTGCCGAGTCTCGCACGCCGCTTCGACAACCTCGGCGTCTCGTCGTCGCTGCTCTCCGGCCGCCGCTGCCGCTTCCGTTTGGATCGCGTCGCCGTGGAGACGGTCGCCGCGCTGGGCTTCCTCCGTCGCTTCTTGCTTTTGCGGTGGCCGCTCGCAGGCTGGGTTTCCGCTGCCTGCCTCCGATGCTTCTCCTTTTTGCGCCGCTTTTTCGAGAGGTGGGTCGATGCGGAGGAGGAGGAGGAGACCGAGTCGCTTCTTCTCTCTTTCTTTCGCTTGTCTTCACCAACGTCGCTGTCGGAATTCGAGAGAACGCCGGAGAGGCCACCGGACGATATCTGCGAGGGAAGCCATTTTCAATAATATCCCATGTAATAACCAAATGTATAAGTAATACGCGTGCATTGCATGAGCTGGTGATTTTATATCATCTAATTTGTATTTACTTCATAAATGATACATATTAGACATCATCGTCATGTGCACATATATTCATCTGCCATCTCATTACTGATTTTGTCATTATCGGCAATGTCACCAGAAACGTTTTTTTACCAATTTCGTAATATCAGTTTTACTCGTAACATGTTATGACCAAAATTGATACACCATGTGTTATATAAATAGCACTAATATTTACCGCAGTGCTACAACATTTCCAACGATTGACCCATGCAAGCTCACATTGTATTGTCCTATACAAGCTCAAACATACGATTGTACATTATTATTTACTATTTATTATTTATAATCATTATTATTATTATTAC